CAACTCAGCATGTAGGTTGTAATACACATAATAAAAAAACAACAAATAAATAGCACATTTATGACATTGTGACACACCTGAAGACAAATCAACAGTTAAAAACTTTCCCAGAAACAAAAGTGAGTTTTAGTCAGAGTCCAATCACATAGCTTGGTCGAGAATGTATCTATTAAAATGATTTAAATCATCAATCGGTTGGGTCTCTGTTGTGATGCAGAGGCAACGTACGATTGTGGGTTCTGATTTATATGCACTTGTCACTTAAATGACGTAGTGGACCCTTGTATATTTTTGAATGAAAAATACATTTTGAAGCAAATAATAATTAAACAAAGATATGAAAATAGTCCTTAGTTTCAGTCGTAAGAAAAAGCAATATCCTCCTTTAACACCCCTCGTTACTCTCGCTGCTTGTTGCACACACATGTGAAAACATCATCACCTCTGTAATGTGCTTTTCAGCCATATAACTATTTAACAGCATGACGGCCTCCTCTTTCTCTCTTCCTCCAGTGTGTCTCCGTCTTGACGTTTTCCAGAGTTACATGTAGGACAGAAATGCTAACGGCCCAGGAGCTACCTGTGCCGTTAGCATTTCAGTACGAGGACTTATGAGACACATCTGGACTCATTTCGCATTCTCCGTGCGCTCCGAGGCTGAAAACTTCCCGAAAAAGGACTGGCAGGCCTCAATGGCTGGAGCTTATGATCTGCGGTAAATATTTAATGCTAGCTTGCCGGAGCGGTGACATCCTGGACGCACAGCCATGAATTATGGATCCCCCTCAGGGACGTGGGCAGAACGGAAGTGTCCAAAGCGACTTGAATGAATCCCGGGTGACTTCCCGGGACCTTTCTAAAACGGGGACACAATCCGGGGCTTAGCTTCTTTTCCCGTCGCTCGGGGAAAACCCTCGCGGATGGAAAGACAGGGGCAGTGCTGGTGAGCTACAGGAGGCAGGGTTTTATACGGCGCGGAGGAGACGGGATAATGCAAAGCATTGTGTGGCGTTTCCCTACTTTCTTCTTCTACATTTTTTTTTTCCGGAACACTCCCTTCTCAATAACCCAAGCTCAAGCCACCGTGAGATTCAACTTGTATTTCACCATCATCCACTGATTTCTGATTTCATCAATAACAGTGTGGGGGGGGGCTAGTTTATTTTAATGCACTTCCCTGCTGAGCATTCTCTTCCCTTGGCCTGTAATCAGGCTGCTGCAGTGTGTGTGTGTGTGGGGGGGGGGGGGGGGGG